TTTACAAATTAAATATGTTACGGAAACAAAATATATACATTTAACATTATTTCTTTTTAATTACTGGTATTATTGTCATTGTGCTTCTTAATAATATTACGAAGAAAATTAATTATTAATAATATTATTAATATTATTATTACTATTATTATTATGATTAATAAGTTATAATAAAAATATAATAATAAAATAAAATAAAAAAGGATTAGTAGGAGGAAGGAGGGAGGGGTATATATATAAGTGATAAGAACAAAAAGAAATGGACGAATGAAAACTTAGTTTTTAAAATAAAACAAAAATTAATTACTTTGTTACAAATTGTATTATAATGACAATTAGCGTAGTATACAGAAAGAAATGATTAAAAAAAANGTTTTTTTGTTTTTTTTTTTTTTGTTTAATTTCAATCAATCCTTATAGAGACGAAGACGAAATGGTAAAAAATGAAAAAAAAAAAAAAAAAATTTTCGATCAAAATTGTAGCTCCAAGTTTATATATATATATATATATACGTGAAGGAGGAGCTTTTGAAGATTTTAATGTCATTCGTATTAACGTATATGAGAAAACCTTTATGCAGTAAGCTTTATATCACTTATAGATTTTCGAGTTATAGATAAAAGAGAATTAAATTTGCTAAATAATAGATGAAAAAGCAAAATGCGAGATTATATTCTTATAGATTTCATGTTTATCCTTTGTCAAAGTTACTATACATATTATATATATATATATACACACACACACACAACAACCAACCAACAACATTGCCGAACAAATCGCTTTATAAATAATTGAATGAATTTTATTTTTAAATATATATCCTTGTATTTGATTAATTTTGAACAAATATTTGATTAATACATCAATTACAATGAATTAAATGATTTCATTTATAGCAACAAATAATAATAGTTTACACATGGTCCCAAGGTTCGTTTTCATACTTTTGCAGTTGTTGTATACTTATTAAACAACGCCGTGTTTATACATAACTTTATGTAATTTAATTGAAAAGAAAATTCACTACTTTATTAATCAGAATTTATATAAAAATATGCAATAAAATATACTTTAATGTAAGTATTCTCATAAAAATGGTGCCTTTTTTTTTTTTAGGGCTTCTTTTCTTACATAAATAGACACAAATATGTGCAAGTATAATGTTCTTATAAATTTAAGAAAAAAAAGAAAAAAAAAAACAACCAATACACAGTTTCCTGAGAAAATATGAATTTGTTTAGTCCAAAATCGGGCTGAATAATTTTATTCATTATTTTTCATCAATAATATTTGATGTGTAATATTATGTAAGAATTATATCGAAATATAAATCAAATACACAGTTGCTGTAAAGTTTCACATAATAAACAACATCGGTAATTCGTTATTCTTCTTGTGATTATCGTTTGAAAAAACTACATATATATATATATATATAGAAATATAAAAATGCGAAGTATTAGATATATAAGATTATGATGTATAAATTATTATATTCACCTGATATTATATTTTTTTTGTTTAATGAATTTTTATCAAATGATATATATATATATATATCAGATCTTTTCTTTTCATTTGTTCTTCTTGTTTGGTTTTTTTTTTTTTACATAATCTTTATAATATTATCTATTATACTATTTTATATGCCACTGAATTTATCAAGCCGCCACCACCACTACGCATAAATTTGTTTACGCGCAATGTGGTTAAGAGTGATTATTAATTATCTAGTATAAATCGAAGATAAATCATTTCAAAGAAAAATTGCGATAGATTAATCTATCATTCTTAGAAAATCATTCTTCTTATATAATAAGCATTGCATTGACTGATTTTAGGATTGTTATCCATGTCGATATATAAAAAAAAGCAAACAGTGAGTGAGTGAGAGAGAGAGAGAGAGAGAGAGAGAGAGAGAGAGAGTCAATAATTCGTTTGCCTAGGAATTGGATGGCGAAGTACTAAAACACTGTCTGCTGATATTATGGGTAGCAAATTGACACAATGATGATTAACTAAATGACTTACGCTATCGAAAACACGGTCCTTTGTGCGAACCTGTAAATATGATTACTTTACTTTTTTTTTATTCTTTTCATTTTAACCCTTTGACTGCAAACAACATTTATAAATTTCCAATGAAAATTGTTCTCTTGTTACAAATATTTTCATGTTTTATAGGCAACACTAATGCAACATTCTTCTTTGTAGCGAATTGAGTTCTATGGTCACATTTTGTTTTTCTGATATTCCATAGTCAAAGGGTTAATTAGCTCAAACTATTAAAAAAAAAAATAAATAAAAGATACTTACAACACCTTCTGGATCTATCAATAACAAATGCTTCGGTGTATTATTATTCATACCAGTTAAAACGTATTGACCTGGAGAGCCTTGTGATTCGCGTACTAGAAAATCTCCATCCTATTTAAAATGAATGAAATTCATGTTTCATTATGATAGTTTATTATTTATTATTATTATTTATTGTTCAATTATACTGACTCTCATGAGCATAGATTCTGCTTCGGCACGACTAACGCTACCATGAAACCACGTTTCTTGCTTTAACTGATTTTTCTGTGAACGTGGACTTAGTTTACTCATTTCTGATATAGCAGAACTGAATGGTTCTGGAAAAGAAAAAAGATATAAAACATTATTATAATTTCTGTAATATTACAATAAAAATATTAAATATACATTATATTAACTTACGCATGTCAAAAACATCAAAAAGTGATGCAGTTTCACGATGATTGTCTCTGTTTGCAAGTATGACACTATCATTCATGTAATTATGTTCATGCACTACATTAAAACTTGAGGTAGTTCCATCTGCATTTAAATCAATTAAATTTCCAGTTTCTGTAATAAACAAATAATAATAATAATAATATTAAAAGTTGTACAAATTACAATGAGTAGATTTCGTTTTATAAATACATATAAATATTATTTTTTTTTTTTTAATGATAATATTACCCGTCCATTGTTGAAGTTGTCTATTATTATCAATAGATGAGCAAGAATCATGTAATACAGAATTTTGTGGGTTACATCGTGTTACTTGATTTTGCGTAGAGTGATGTTTCAAATTTGGTAATGTCGAAGCTGCATTGGGTAAAGGTGGTACTGGTGGTGGACCAATATCTGGTGGTACTTTTCCTGGTAGATCATTATAATAATCCCTATCTGCTTCCCTCATACCATTTAATACTGGGCTATAAAATAAAAAATATAATATAATAATAATAATTTCTTCTTAAATAATAAATTCTTTGTAATCTCTTGCATTATAACAACGTATGAGGAGACAATTGTGATATAATTTTCAGCTCAAACATAAATCTTACTCATCGTGAATTTTACAAACAAAAGGCACGCAGTTCTATGAATCATAGTGCAAGGGGTTTAATAACGAACTTACTGTAACGAATTTGGTTTAGTAAGAAATTCTTTGAATCTTATTTCGAATGCTTGACCGATTGTAGATATAACGTCTTGCGCTAATCCACCATCACATTCCAAAACATAACATGCACGCCATTCGTGCATATCTTTGGCAACATATGCAACAAAATCTAATATATCCTATAATTCAAAAAAATATTCTAGTTATAAAAATGATATATTAATATAAAATTAAAAATGATTGTTGTGTGTGATGATGAACTGTATAATACATACTGTATCGCCGCCAGAGGCAAAAGATATACGTGGCATATCATGTTTCGCAATAACTTGTCCCGTTTCTAAATTAGTTAAAGATAGACTACTACTGCTAATTGTCAAATTGATGCTAGTACCTGCATGTTCCATACGAGGCTTATCGGCTATTGCTCTTAAAACTTTTCTGTCAACCTACATTTTATAAATAAAATAATGAATTATATCTTATGTGTGAACATACATTTTCTTGACAAATAATAATTCATGTTTTACCCTTCTTTTTTTATCAGCTGATTTTAATCCAACAGCCTCGCAAACTCTATTTATACATTCTCTGTAAAACAAGAGATTTACTTATTTATACCAGTTACAAAAAAAAAATATAATCTATATAAATATAAATATATTTTTAATTACTTACTTAGCAACGCATGATCTTGTTTCAAAATCTAAACTCTTCATAGAAGTGTATACTTCGAGACATCCTATATACTGTAACAATTTATACCATTATTCATAAATATATTATATAATCGTTTGAAAAGATTATTACTATAAATATAACTTACTTTGACCATGTAAGTAATCCCTTCCTTACTTACTAAATTATCGGGATGTAACCATCCCCTTGCTGGTTTACTTATAAAACTACCACTCGTCGCCATACCTAAAATAAAACCCCCCAAATAATTTATATAAAGTATTTATATAGATATAAATAAAAAAATACTACACACAGAAATGAAATTAATTCTAAAAGAAAGATATATTTTAAATAATATAAAAATAATAACAATTTAGAATAAAATTTAAATAAAGAATAATCTATTTATAATCTTTAATAAATCAATTACTCTAATAAAAAATAAATCATATTAAAATGATATTAAAAATGACTATTGTTTAACAGATTTGAACTTTAGACTTTCACATCAAATTATTTTAATTGAATGACAAAGGAATAACTATATGAGTAATCATGATGATTAATTTTAATTTAAACAAAAATCTTAAAATAAATAAATAAATAATTAACCAAGTTAATAAAATATTACCCAAATTGTATTGTTGCTATTTAAAATGTTCTTCATACATTGATGACACTTCAAGTGGTATAAGGTAATTGCTTAAAAAAATTTGTTAATAGTTCTGCTGACGTTATTATTCTAAGAATAAATGATTTCAATTAAATTACTTGGATATGGGAATACGCAGGCACTGTTAATAGGCACTGGTAAAATGTCATTTTGTTAAACTGTCAAAGAAATGTAACACAAAATTCAACTGTCACTACAATTTTATAAATCTGAATGAGTGATCACACCCAGTGTTGCCATATGGTGTAATCAGGTATATCTACAAATTTGATGTTAACAATTGTCCTTTTAAAAGGTCCATTTGATTAGTTGACGATGCACAACAGAATAATTTTACTTTGACCAATCAGACGCTTTATACGTCATTTCGTTATATGATATAATTATCCTTTGTTATTTGAAATAAAAAAATTATTGTAATTTTTTTTTTTTATTAAAAAAATAATTAATTAATGTTTTATTACATTTTTAAGATTTTTTAAACATCTAAATTTATATATGCTTTTGTAATTCTTATCTTTGTGCGTTGATTGGTAATATAAAGTAAATATAAGACAACCAATCATAAGCGAGTATACAATAAAGTTCATTTCAAATATTTCTATGTTATTTTCGCGGTTCTTTAGCCGGTAACAATAGCAGAGTGTTTAGGATAGAAATTAAAAAAATGGCGCGAGATAATGATACCGATGAAATGATGGAAGTTGATGTTTTACCATCTACGAGTGGACATAATTCGAAAAGTAAAGAACATTCAAATAAATCTTGTGATTTACCTTGGTAGGTTTCAACGTTTTTGAATTATTTTTTCATTTATTTTGTTTTGTTAAATTAGGTTATCTTATTTTCATATGTGTTTTCACATGTTCTTTAGATAATCAAATTATATTACAATATTACTGTATTTTTAGTTATTTATTATTAACTTAAAATCAAATGTATTAACATTTTTCAATTATTTTATGTCATAATGCAGGATTGAGAAGTATCGTCCACAAGTATTTACAGATATCGTTGGCAATGAGGATACTATTGCTCGTTTATCTGTTTTTGCACAACATGGAAATACACCAAATATTATTATCGCAGGACCACCCGGTGTAGGAAAAACTACAACTATTTTATGTTTGGCACATTTACTCTTAGGTCCATCTTTTAAAGATGCTGTGTTAGAATTAAATGCATCTAATGACAGAGGAATTGATGTCGTTAGAAATAAGATCAAAATGTTTGCGCAAAAGAAAGTAAGTTAAAAAAAGAAAAAAAAAGTTTTATATCTATATAGAAATAATAATATTTATTTTATCTGTAATTATATAATTTAGGTCAATTTAACGAAAGGAAAACACAAAATAGTTATTTTGGATGAAGCTGATAGTATGACTGATGGAGCCCAACAAGCTCTTCGTCGTACAATGGAAATATACAGCAATACAACTAGATTTGCATTAGCTTGTAATAATAGTGAGAAAATTATTGAACCAATACAATCACGTTGTGCCATGTTAAGATATGGGAAATTAAGCGATGCCCAAGTCTTGGCAAAAGTCATAGAAGTTTGTCAAAAAGAAAATGTAATTTCTTTTTATTACAATATTATTAGTACTTTTCTATTAAAAAATATTATATTTTTATTAAAAATTAATTTATAGGTTTCTTATACAGATGATGGCTTAGAAGCCATAGTATTTACAGCTCAAGGTGATATGAGACAAGCGTTAAACAATTTACAATCTACCCACAATGGATTTGGTCATGTAAATGGTACAAATGTTTTTAAAGTATGCGATGAACCACATCCTCTTTTGGTAAAGGAAATGCTTGAATTGTGTACGCAAGGAAATATTTGTAAAGCGTTTCAGGTAAAATTTATATTGTATCATGTAAAATTTACTTTTTCTCCCAAAATTTATACATTTATCAAATTCTTAGTTTTATATTTTGTTTCAATAGATAATGCAACATTTATGGAACTTGGGTTACTCTGCAGAAGATATCATTGGAAATATATTTCGTGTTTGTAAGAATCTTCCTATTGAAGAAAAATTAAAATTGGAAATGGTAAAGGTAAGAGTTTCTTTATTTCATATCTATATTTATTCCATAGAATCAATTTATTATAATAATTATTTATTGTAATATTTATTGTTTTAGGAAATAGGAATTACACATTTAGGAATTGTGAATGGTATTAATAGTTTATTACAAATGAATAGTCTGCTGGCTCGACTATGTCAAAAACATATTTCAAAAAAATGAAAACCTTCAATTTCCTTGAATTTATATGTAAAAGTAATGAAATCAATTTCAAGTATAATATTTACATTTATAAATTGCCAATATTTTTGTACAACATGTACATGGACTATTTTATTTCATCATTTAAATATTAATTTATGAATAAGATTACGAAAGAATTGATACGAGAAATAAAAAAGAAATAATAAATGAAGAAAAAGCAAATCGAATCGTAAGTTTTCGATTAATACGTTTTTTTCACGTAGGATCTATTCGAGGGCGCTGCGAAAGTTTTCGCAGTTAGCATGAAGTTAATCGAAGGTGTCGATTCTTACAAAACATTTATTACAACGGATAGACAAATGTTATAATCTTATTTATGAAATATTTCATCGTGCTAATTATTTACAACGATTCGTAAAAAATAGAATTAATTAAAGTGCAATAGAAATAGATAAAGAAATCTAATACGAATAATACAGTGTCAAATATCTACTATATCGAAAGATACGATAATATGTTGAAGATTGCCGGCATTGACTTTAAAGATAGTACCACATTAAACAGACAGATGTCGCCGGGAGCATAGTTATTTGAGGCGCGGCGCAGTGTGCTTTGCATCACTGAACGAGAAACTCTTTCGAGAAAATATCATGCGATATATCCAGTGGAATTTTATGCACTCATGTCACGCATCCTCGAATTTAAATAATCTCAACCACAGACCAGGCTAAACTATCGGTATCTAGCAATAAAAAAATAAAGAAAAGAAAAGAATAACAATAATAAAAAAAAAAAAGTAAAAAGATAGCTAAAACGAACGAACGAAAAGTCACGAAATTTTTTTTTTCTTGTTTTTTTTTCTTTCTTTTTTTTTTTTTCTTCCTTTATATCAAAAACATTGATCATTATCAAATAGGAAAATAATTAATTCTATTCTACGAATAATCATCGTGGCACTCTCGTACGATTTGCACTGACTTTATTTATAGTGTCTGGTTATTTTTGCATGTGTTTCTTTTAAAACAAGATGCAGCTGTCCGCTGCTGGCTGATAGCACATTCTCTTGTACGTATTTTTGTAAGTTTGCTTCGTTAGAGAAGAGACAGACAGGGCAACACTAAATTAAGGCATAAGTAGTTAAAAGACAGATATCAGTGTATAGTACTTTTCTATATGGACGCATTAGTCCGTGATACGTGGGTGTGTTAATATACGTACAAAAAGAGTATTATTTGTTATTTAATTCTATTTCAATATATATATTTTGAACATTTTATTTTATATAATGAAGTGGACGTTTAACGTTAAGTGATAATAATATATAATATTTATGTCGAGGGCAAGTGTTAAGAAGAATTAACACGTTCGAAACTCGAAAATCGTGGTCTTCTTTTGATTCAAGTGATATACAGGTATAACAAGGACAATTCAGGCTATCTATCTATCTATATATATATATATATATATCATGAATATTTATATTAAATTATTATTATGGAATATCTTTTTTCTTAATGTAGTTCTACCTTTCTTTAGACAATAATTATATATATCTTAATGCTGTGCATGTAAATGTTATATATAATACAATAACCTTGTATGTGGTAGGTAATCGGTTAACAAACAATCCATTTAAAGACAATGTTCATTACCTGAACTGTTCATTAACCGATCAACAACCACTGTATGGTTTTACAAATTTTAGACACAGCATTGGTATTTCTTGTGTTCATTCTGTGAAATGTTCCTTATACAAACCATGTGTTTTTTTTAAACAAATGAGAAGTAACTTTATATATCTTTATATTCGATTTTATAACGATTCATCGTTAAAAAATAAATCAAACAAATGAAAATTAAGATCTGAATTATACTTGTTATCAATTATCATTGTTATTATTATTATTGTGAATTTAAGTTATTAATATGATTCAATGTTTTTATGTTAAGGTTTTAAAAAAACGTTAGGTGTATCAATTAGCTGCTGTTTAAAAAAAAAAAAATAAATAAATAAAAGAACAAATGGAGTCTGCTGTAACTGGACGAAGACGAACTGCCACACGGCATTCTGCTGAAGATCAAGCTCTTGACCAAATAGCTAAAGAGGTATGACATAATAATATGTTCGTTTATTCGCTTAGAATTATTGTTATTGATAAAAATACAAAATTCTTATTGAAAGTTATCGCTTTATAGTATGTAGAACGGTGATATACATGTGTATATTTATGATTTGCTTACTTACGTCTTATTAAATTTTCATTTCATACCTGTTTATTAATTATTATTAATTTATTAATATAAAATTAGTATATATATATATATATATACTTATATTGCTGTTGTATATTCACATTTCTGTAAGAGGAAGAGACATATAAAGTAATACTTTTTACCACTGCTAAGTTACACGTTATAAACCACAATGATAAGAGCTTATCATAAAGATAAGATAGGAATTTCAGGAAAACAGGTAACTTTGCCAATGGAATAAGGCTAAAAGTGAGTATAACTAAATAAACTACTATACATTTTGGTTATTCAAACAAACGAAAAAAAGAGAAATTCATTATTCAAATAAATATTATTATTAAATATAACATATATTGTGTGTGTGATAAGTGTTTTATCTTTTTTTTCTAGTGAATTCGTAATATTTTGTTAATAAGCATTAAATAAATTCATATATATATATATTTATTTGTGCTCTCAACATTAAATTCTAAAAGTATGTCAAGCTTACAAAATATTTTAAGTGTATTATTATTTTTGTTGAATAATTGTATATCCTTTTGTTACACGCTCATACACATATGCATATATATATATATATATATTAGTAAAGAATTGATCTAATCTAGCAATGTAAATAATCAATTGAATTTGAAAATGTTTTTGGTAACAGGATGGATTTTCCATACATACTTTCAGGCAGAAGCTCGACTAGCAGCAAGAAGACAAGCAAGAGCAGAAGCTAGAGAAATTCGAATGCGCGAATTGGAAAGACAACAAAAGGAAGCAGAAGAAAATGCTGATAGGGTTTATGACATGTGTTCAGGTAACTATTATCAAAATATATATTTTGTGTAAATATAAAATATAACAATGGTCTTGAATTAATTCTAATTACTACATTACATTTCATTTGTTTGTAGATCCTAATAGAGCCATGAGAGTAACTCCAGATCCTGTGAGGACGTCACGTTTGCTCACAAATTCGAATAATTTTCAATCCAGTTGTAAATCATCGGAAGATTCATTAGAAGATATAGGCCTTGGTAGAGATCTTAGGGTACGTGTTTTATTCTTATTATACTATGTTAATTAGAATTAACATTGAACTGTTAAAATACTGAAAAAGATTATATAATTACAGTTAGAGTTGAAGGAATTTGAAGAGAAGTTTCGAAAAGCTATGATAGCTAATGCCCAATTAGATAATGAAAAATCTTCTTTTGCATATCAAGTTGATATATTGAAAGATAAATTGGAAGAATTGGAAGAAATGGCAGCTCAATTGCGTAGAGAACTTCGAGAGAAGAATCGAGATGCCGAACAGTTAAAACGACTTAGTCAAAGATTAAAAGATGATTTAGATTTATGCAGAACACAGTTATTAGAAAGGGATACACTCATTCAGGTATATTTTCTTTTTTATAATATGAAATTTCTTTACTCTTAAAAATTAAGTTAAGTATGTGGTTGATGATGATGATGATGATGATATTGTTTATCGTGTAGGAAAATGGATTAGTAATAGTTGAAGATGAAGGTACCGATGAAGAAGAAGATGTTGAAGGTGGATCCTGCCATAGGAAAAGAGTATTAGTTAGTAAAGAATCTGCAGATTTATTAGAAAATGCTGGCAAAGGATCCTTGGGTATGTAATCCTAATGTAACATTATTTATATATTATAAAATTAATATAAAAAAATGAATATATATAAATTTAAAAAAATATTCATTTTTTTGTTGTTGTTGTTGTTGTTATTGCAGATGTTCGACTGAGAAAGTTCGCTTCGGAGAAAAAAGAATTAGAAGATCAAATACGACATTTAAGATTGGAATTAGAAGAAACCAAGAATCGCATAAGATCTGAGAGATCACCGGGTGCAGTATTAGGTTGAAGTTAAATCTGTACATTACGTGTGTGATGGAGTATATACATCTTTTTTTCTTAATTTTTAGTACTCCATAAAATGGTCTTATAAAAAAAAAGAAATAGTTACGAAATGTTATTTTATCTGTAATATTAATTGACAATTTCATTAAATGTTACTTTATATGAGCTGTTTATTTATTGAAACAGGTGGCTTAACGGATTCTGAAGATATTCAACGAGAAGCTAATAAACTTTTAGCTGACTACAAATTCAAGCTGCAAAAGGCGGAACAAGACATGTCTACTTTACAAGCCACTGTAGCTAGATTAGAAAGTCAAGTAATACGCTATAAGTCGGCGGCAGAAGCATCTGAAAAGGCAGAGGATGAACTCAAAGTTGAAAAAAGAAAATTGCAAAGAGAAGTAATGGAACATTTTTTAAATATCTTTTTTGTTTTATATGTATACTTAACAATAATAAAACTTATTCTTTTATATTTTTACAGGTTAGAGAGTCTCAAGGACGTGTCGAAGAACTCGAAACAGCGAATTCTCATTTACAAAGGCGATTAGATAAACTTAAAAATGCTAAATCTGCTCTTTTTAAAGATCTTTGATGAAATTATTTTATTTCTTTTTGAATCTGTCAAGTCTACCTTGTCTTTTCTCTTCTGTGCTATAGACAGAAGGCATTTATTTAATAATTTTTAAATAATAATAATAATAATAATAATAATAATAGTAATAATAATAATAATAATATTGCAGAATATATCAAAGAGTTATTTGGCAATTTGGTAATAACATTTAACAGAGAATATGTGTACTGTTATCAAATCTTTTATAATTTAGAGAGCTTTTATCATTTAGAGAATGACACGTATAGAAATATTTATACTAATGAATTTGTACGCAAAGTCATTCTTTGTTTTTATCTGGTCTTTTGGTAATAAGCAGTTTAATGGCAATTTAACAACGAGAAAATGCTTGTTTAGTAATAATATTTCAGGCATTTATATTACTTTATTAATTTATAAATAGTTGTGTAAAGACAATTTGTGCATGTACATAACATTGTTATGTTATAACAGCCTATCGGTTTTTATTTCTCTCTATACATTAATGGCATCAATATTACAAAATGAATTGTGTGTTACGTTTTGACTAATTAAATTATGTCAATATGTAACATTATAAATATATATATATTCCAAGAGTTTATATAAATTTTAAATTAATATTTCGATTTTTGTGAAATCTTCATTTTTTACAATCAAAGTGCATACAAATTTAATATATCATAGTTTGAAGTGAAGATAAAATGAGAGAGAAAGAGAGAAAATATTATGATTTTTGCAATTATATATATATATATATAAAAGTTAACATATTTTAATAATTTATATACTTGATATAATAAGTATACTTAAAAATTTCTTAAACTTTAAAGTATTCTTCTAGTGTAAAATGGATCAATTACGAATGTATTTAAAGAGTTTGAACATTTGAAATTATGAGTTACATAATATTAGTCTTCAATTTGTATTCCTCTCTTTGATCCTTTATTAAATATTTCAAACATTTTCAAATGCATTTTATAATTAAAAGATTATCGAGACACAAGATAGATTATAAATGGCAAAAACCACACCGGACTGATCCTCCCTAGTAAATCATAACAAATTAATATACTTACAAAAAAGAGATGCATAATTATAAAAATATCCTTACTGTGCAGAATAATAATAATAATAATAAAAGGAAGATATAAATGATTGTATACTATGTTAAAAAAAAAAAAAAAAAGAAGAAAATAACGCGCCAAAAGAAGTATAACTTCAAAAAAAAAAAAAAAATAAAAAAAACAAACATATCCCCGAATATGTTGGTAGTGAAAGTATATTTATAATCGTGTTGCATTTATAACTCTTATATCAAAATAATTTCGAAAACATTGCGACTGATATAAAAACTACAGAAAAATTAGATGTACAATAGTGTGGTCTTTGTACATTTAGAATAAATTCAAATATATTGTTATAAATGTATGTGATATTCTTTGTGTATTCAACAAAGTTTTGTCCATAATCGGTAGTACGACGACTAATGCGAATATATACAATGTACATATATATACTTCCAATGTTGTCCTATTGTAGAAATTTACCCGTCATAATATCATCAGTTAAAGAGAATCAAACTATATTTAAAGAAGTTTTATCTTTGCTCTCTAATAATGCGTGCCAAGGGATAGCAAAAAAAAAATGTGTTAACCAGTTTGTTGTTTAGAAACGTATACACATTTTTAATGGTCCATAATATTATTCCAAATGAAACAACAAAAATAATAATAATAATAATAATAGTAATAGTAATAGTAATGTTTAATTATTGATTAATAAATTAAAAAGAAACAAACAATATTATTATAAGCTCATCATTTTTTCAAGTTTTATCTCTTTTATTTTTCTCTTTTAATTAATTAATTACCTTATATGTATTTAATTCAATGTTTATTCTTCTTGATTAATATAACATACTTTGCGTAATGAACGATGGATGAGCTTTCAATTAATAATAATTGAAAATATTAAAACTTACTAGAGCAATACCTTTATTTAATATTTTAATACAATATTATTACAATATATATTTTATTTAATTAACAATCAGTTAAGATATATCAAACACAGTACCGTATTCTACTAATATTTACAATTGTTTAAACATTAAATAACTCATATATATATATATACACATTGTAATTTGAAATGTTATTACAAGTGTATCGAAAATTTAAATGTGCGGAGTGACGTCACGAAGATCGAACATTCGATTATTTTTACGATTATCGAAATACATCGAAACAGTATTATTTCGTATTTCGACGAGTTATCATCGAAACTTTTGACTTCTCATTAGAGGTAAGATTTAAATCATTATTTTTATCATATTTTTCAATAAGATACAATATACGCGAAGTATAATTAAATAATGTTTAAACAATAGAACATTTTTCTTTTTTTTTAAATATTATATACCTATTAATATACTTCAAATATTAAATAATTTTATTTATTATTTTATTGGATGAAAATTTGAAACTCAAAATCATTAATAATTAAGAACGTTAAAATAGATGTATTTTACTTTTAGGCTAGTGCAAAATCATGGTTGAAGAATCCTTAATAAACAACTATGATCGAATTAAAAGAAGATTCACATTAAACGTGATTGATTAATATAATATTGTAACTCGTGGATCTCCATATGTAGCAACCTCCACGCGGTGAGATCTGGGTCGGTATTACTTGTGATCCATCTAAATGTAATTGTAAATCATGTAACGCAAGTACTACCGAGCAAATGGCTACATATTCCAGGACACTTTTGAAATATTTATTAATCATTATTCTATTTACATTATACATTAATAATTATATTTCCGAAGATACTAACAAACAAAAGATAACATTAAATATGAAATAATTTATTAAAGAAATGCACTAGACATTTTCAAATTTAAATGATATTTCATGATATTTTTGTTAAAATTTTAGATGTAAATTATAACAATTTTTCTATATTATTATCGTGAAGTGTGTTATCCTTGGGTTTGAAATGAATTAGATTAAATAATATAATGCACGTCATTTTAACATATAAATGAATATCAGTGGTAGGGATAGAAGTTTCATTTTTCGCCACAGTTTTCAAGAGGCGCTACTGTAGATAACTTGATTTTTCTCAACAATCTTGATAATCGTGTCTATAAATTTTTCTATGAAACTAGCTCAAATCGCGAATTAACAGTTTTTATGAGAATTCGAATTCGTCATGTAATAAAATTTGTTGATTTTTTTTTTGATCGATTTGACAAAATAATTAGTTTAATAAAAAAAAATAAAAAAAWAAAAATATGTAGCATGTGTGAATGTGACATAAATAAAATAGTAACTTTTGTATTTGAAAATATAGTTAAAAAAAAAAAAAAATAAAAATTATTACACACATTTGGTAACCGTGCATAAACGGGAGTTAGCAGCTGGGAAGTTACAACGATGTCGTCTGTTGTAGAGAAAATACGGCATTGTCAGCGAAATATTAAGAAATATTCTGATAAAGAAGAAAAAGTCAGTATTTTTAGTTATTATTATTATTATTATTATTATTTTCGATAATAGTGAAGATTAAATATTGCGATATGAAAAGAAATAATTTAACAAAAAAAAAATCTTAAATGTATACGATAACCTATGAAAGTTTTCAAAAAGAATGAATTTGATACATCATGATCTCTTAATAAAATAATATTACTGCGCGTTTCAAAAAATGTATATTTATATTAAATTGCTTTTCAATGACTTTTGTAATGAAATGATAATATATTTAACCTATGTATATATGTATTTACTTAAATACATATTAATGAATGTTATAAATTGAACATCTTGATCTGTTGCTTATTTGTGAGGAAAAAAAGGGGAGGGGGAAAGAAAGAACATTGTATGCATAATAGTTTTAAAAGCAATAATTATTTCTATTTTATTTACATTATACCTTTAATATTAGGTTTATCTTTTTTTTTTCTAAATGTAAACACATGTATACACACATACAACTGTTTCATATATATTCTTTTATATTTATCTATAAATTCAGATAAAAATTTAAATGTTGTTATTGAATAATGTTCTCTTATATTTCAGCTAATGAAACAGAATGAAATTGAATTGTATTTCATTATTTTCTTCTACGATTACTTATTTATAGATGCTGCATTATATACAAAGACTGTATAATTTACCAGTAACGGTACAACATCTTCAAGATACAGGAGTAGGGCGTACTGTTAATGGATTAAGAAAATATGAAGGTGGTGTTGGAGATGCTTCCAGAGCTTTAGTGGCAAAATGGAAAGCTATGGTTGCAGATGAGGAAACAAGTGAAGGGGAAGACGATGAAGCCTGTGTTCCTGATGTTTCTGAGTGTTACGATAGACCGGAATCTCCAATGTTAAAGAAAAAACAAGAAGCAGATAGTACGGTGAAAATATCAAGGTATTTTATAGAAATTTATTATGTTAATAAATAAAAATACAAATAATATCGAGGCAATGTATTAACAAATGATTAAATTCAAAATACAGACATGAAGAAAAAGTAGATAAAAATGAAATATCAGAGCATAGCTCGAAACATTCTAATAAGCATGATATCAAAGGTAAATCTGAAAATGAATCTAACGTAAATAAGGAATCATCGAAGACTTTGAAACATGAGTCACAAAAAGAAAAACATGATAAAAGTCATTCTAAACACGAGTCAAGGGATAATAAACGATCTTATTCTAACGATCCTAAAAGCAGTAGTAGTAGTTCTTCTACGCATGTAAAAAAATCTACTGATAAATCTTCTTCTCATAGTAATAAATTAGATAGTACTACAGATAAACAAGACGAATATAACAAAAAAAGAAAATTAGACAATTGCAATAGTGGAAAAAAGAAATATAAAAAGCCAAAACTTTCTGAAAATGAAAGTGATGATGATAGAACTAGTTCTTATAATACGGATAAACAAAATGTCAACGATTTTCAAACGGAATTAAATAAGAAAACACATATTGAAGTTAAACAGGAAGACGTAAATAAAGTTGAATCTAAAAAAGACAAGAGTAAATCTCGTGAAAAAGTTAAATCAAGTTCGTCTAGTAAAGAGGAAAAAGTACACGATGATAAAAGTAAAAAGAAATCAGAGGAAAGTAAAGAAAAACAAAAAACGGACAGTCATCGTTCTAGTAAAAGTTCTAAATCAAAAAGTCATCATAGTAGTTCTAGTAGTAGAGATCATGCTAAGGATAAAGACAAAGATAAAGATAAGGCTAAGGATAAGGATAAGGATAAAGATAAGGATAAAGGTAAAGATAGAGATAAAGATAAAGACAAAGATAAAAGCAAAAGAAAAGAGAACGAAGAAAGAAGACATAAGCATCAAAGTAAAAGTAGCTCTGATTCGAAAGAAAGCAAATCTGATTCAAAAGAAAGCAAATCTGGTTCGAAGGAATCAAAAGAAAAAGTCAAAATCAAACAAGAAATCAATGGAGACGAAGGAATCGATTGTAACTCCGGTTAGTTTTTATATTTTTTATATTACATAATATATCAAAAGAAATATATATATATATTAAGATTTATTTATATAGTAAACATCTTTTTTCGGCAGGTGCAAGTTTTGCAGAAGCTCTTGGAATGTGTACAGTTGCACCAGGATCAAAGAGGCGTCATAATAATTCTCCTAATTTAAATTCTTCAAAAGGTTTCAAATCAGAAACAAATGTATCGTCTACTCTCAATAACAAAAAACAATCGTCTACGAAACCCGAAGCTACAAGCAGTGATAGTTTAAATGTAAATTATTTTTATATATATATATATATATATTTTACTAACATATTTTTATTAATAACACTCAATGAAATTACTTTAAAATAATTAATATACAAGTTTGTGCTTTTCATAAAGATTTTCATTTGCAGCCTTTGCCTCTTTTAGCATCAAATGTAAAGTTAGAACCATTAAGTGTGAATTTGGCATCTACATTACCTGAAATAAGTCCTAATTACAAACCACTGTCATATATTAATCCTGTACATCGTAAAGAGGAAGATAAAACTCTTACTGACGTAATTCACGTTAAAAATCAAAGGTAATTTATTAATACATTTAGATATGTTTGTGAAATAGATAACGTTGAATGTGTGAAGTTATATTATATTATATGCTTTATTTTAGGACCAAAGTATATTCTGGGAATAAAACTGGTTATACAAGTGTACCTTCTCTTTACGAAATTTGCATAAGAGTGTTGATAGAGAATATTGATGGTAATATTTTATTTTTATTAATTTTTAAATACTATAATTAATTTTCTATTCATATATATATATGGAATTTGTAAAAAAATTAGACCGTTGAGTAATTGAAACTGAATCTTTTGTTATCCTTCGGTAATAACCTCTTCACAAATGCCTATTTATTTGAAATAAAGTTACACGTTCCTATATATAGATATAATTTTATTCTATAGCACTTGAATTTACTGGTGGTGTCCCATATGACATAATAAAGCCAGTTTTAGAACGAGCTACGGCAGATCAGTTATACATGTTAGAACATCATAATCCTTATTTAATTGAAGATACGGATTCTTTATGGCAATTTCATTGTAATCGAGAATTCAGAAATAAACAAAGACAGGAAATGGAATCATGGCGTGAGATGTATATGGTATTATAAACTTTTTTTATTATTTATATAACATATTTCAATGAGACAATAAATAACTCACGTTATTATTTATAAGGTAATAATAATAATAATATTCATATATTTTTGTAATATAGCGTTGTTTGGATGAAAGAGAAGAAAAATTGAAAACCTTAACTGCCAATATAAAACAATCTATAGATAAGACTGTACCATTAAGATCAGCTAAGCTTGCATATGTTGATAATGTTGTTAAACCTCCTAGGAATATTTTAAAAAAGCAAGCTAAGTATGGAACTAATTCGATTCCTACATCGACGTCTGATTTGAAAAAAAAATTGATCGTTGGTGGTGGACCTAACGCAGCAACTAATATATCTGTACCACCACCTCCAATGAATCGAGTTAAACCATCTTGTAAGTTAAATTATATGATAAAAACATTTGTACATTAAAATTATTATCAAATGATAATACTTATACATTTGTTCCTTCTTAAATTATTAACATTTTTATCTGTTTCATTAATAGCGAGCATGGTAAAGAAGACAAAAGCACCTCTTATGGCAAAAGCTCTACAATTAATAAAAGGGCGTTACAAGCGGTAGTTTGTATAAACATTTTGTAGGTATATTTTTAACTATAATGTATAAATAATGTTTCCACTATAATATTTTTTTAACAATTATGTTGTGATATGGGTAATATTCTTCTATTTCGAAAGACAAATTATGTTGCAAGATTATATATTTAACATTTATATTCTTGTAATATTGATTTTTAATTTACACGCATATAACATATGAATATCATTATAGAAATATTTGATGCATTTAAGAGTAATAATTCAAAAGGAAGAGAAAATTGTTAGATTTATACAATCCGAACTGAAATGTAAATGTTTAATTTACTTTGGTTTGAATTGTAAAATATTAATTTGACGTGTGCTCGTTTTCAAAATTTATATGCTTCCATATTTTGATTATGTGTTTTATACTAAATATATACGTATTTCTGTTTTGTGACATTACATACACTGAAACAGAGACGTGCAAATGTTTAGTTCGAAAATAAATTATTCTTCTTTTAATGTTGTTTAACACGTTGAGTACTACCATGTCAGTCATTAATGATTAACACTGAATTTCCGTTTAGGTCGTGTTAGGCTCCGGTGTCTGACGCTCAACTTTTCGTTTTGACGCGCATGGCTTGACGAAGATTTCTGTAAGAATTTGCGTGGCACTCAACGTGTTAATTGTCCTTAGTCAATCATATTTTTAAAAAATAAGCTACAAAGACCGCGAATTGAAAGGGTCGCGCTCAGGGACGGGATCACTGGCGGGATTTGGTTATTTGCGGCAATGAACTTTCGAGTTCTTAATGCAAATTAATAATAATAATAATAATAATAATCAAGCATGTTTAATCTTCGAACAATTCAGATAAGAAATATTTGTGTTGGTAATTATGACAGTAGAGTAAGTGAAGAAAATGAACAAAAGTATAATCATATTTATTTTATAATATAAATAATTATAATAATATGTAGTCAATCATAAGATTCATTTTTTATTTTTCTTCATTATATTTGACTTACTCTAGTGTCATAAATGAAAGGCACATTTATAGAAATCGATCATTTTTAAACTAACATAGTAAAGTTGTCGTGGCTGTGAAAATATAACGATGATAAAGGAGAGAGAGAGAGAGAGAGAAAAAAAAAGGAAATCTAATTATGAAAGCCAATTGCGAGCTTAGCGAGCTAATCTTGTACGTCTCTGCAACAAAAAATCATCATCTTAAATATGTGATCAAATTTTTATTTACATTAACTTCAATAATACAAAATTTTAGGATTGAAATTACAATATACATATTTGATCATGTTTTATGATAAGACATATAAAAGAATAATTGTTATGAAATATGTGCTCTTCTCACTTTTAAGTTTTATAATTTAAGTGTAATTTATAACAAATGGTCTAAATAGCAAAATGATTAGTCTACTTTTAGTACTACTATTATCAATTTAGTTTGTTAAATAATATCCAAATATTATGTTCATACAGTATACTTATTAGTGATTATTTTAAATGAATAGTAATTTAATTTTAAAATTCATTAATACACTGAACGTATATATGAGTTAATTAGATACCTAAATGGTTCACGTTGAACACACACATATGCCCCTTTCGTCCTCAAAGGGTGAAATTTTTGTTAAGTGTTGAGTAACATCAGTAGATTATTTTCATGTTTATAATATTCAATTGAGTTGTATCAACTTGAAATTCCAAAGTTTTGTTGATCTCTTTGACTATGGCATAATCTTGCACGAAACCATCAATTATATTCCATATGTCAGTTGATATGAATTACCGTTGCAATTTGTTTGTAATTACAGTTATGTTCATTTATTCATCCTTCTCTCTGTGAAGAATAATGTATATATATGTGCCTTTTACAGTCAAAGAGTTAATTAATTTTTCTCGATACATCTACGATAATTGTTAAATGGTTTTGCGTTCGTGTTTAGAATAATTGTATGTGTTAAAGAAAATCTCTAATTTTTAATAAACACATAAAAAGAATGGGGGAAAAAGAAAAAAAAGGAAAAAACGAAATATTTGAAATTGCAAAAAAAAAAAAAAAGATATAAATAGTTGCCATTTTAATTAATCATTATGCTATTATGGAACATTGGAAATTTATAATTAATAATTCATGAAACATTAGTGTTCCTATAATTAATTTTAAAGTAATTACCTCTTGTACATATAACATTATTACAAAATTATACATACTACATTTCTCAATAATTTCATTCGTATCGTAATAAATAGATTGCGATGACATCATGCTCTAATATGTTTAAGTTAATAATTTTGTAGCATAAGAAAGATATTTTATATACGCCATGACATCATAATAATTATTTGTAAAAATACAGATATAATTACATCACGAATCAAAATACAATATAATATAGTTTGAATCAATTTCATTGTAATATTTTCTTTATTTGTAATTACAAATCTATTGGTTGATAAAGATACTTTATTAAAATAATGTAATTAATACTTTAGTTTTTTTTTTTATAAATAAGAAGAATGCATACATTTTACACATTTAATTTTATGCATAGATTTTTCCGTTTAAATGAATATATATATATCATCTAGTAATGAAAATATATTCTTAAAAATATGTGCATGAAAATTAAATTTCAATATGTGAAAATTTGCATAGAATTGAATTATTTTATTTTATATTATAATTGGTATTTAATATAATATAATATTTTTGTTGTTGTGCGAATGTGATATAAAACATGATAAATGATCGGGTAAATTAATTTTACTTGTAATATGTTTCCATATATTTGTATATAAAAATAGTATTAGTTATATTAGTATTATTATTATGATATAGTTATTATTCTGTATTTATATTAGGGAATATTTAAAACAAAATTATTATCTTATAAACTAATGTATGCATCGAAAAAATATTAAAATTTCATTAAATTCCACATCAAATAAAATGTGGAATTTACTTAACATCGTGCGAACATAAATTCTTTCAACAATAATAAAATATTTCCGATTCTTTTATTTTTTTCCATCTCAGCATATACATAAATATATACATGTAATTATAATTAAAAAAAAAAAAAAAAAAAAATCATAAATGTAATAATAAAATCAAAATTGTCGTCTATAATATATTTGAAAAGCGCGCTCAAATTGTTGCTATGGTATTGTATCGTGAATTTGTATTCGTTATAAGGTATTTACAATCTTATCCAATCATGTGCCAGTATTAGATAGAAAGATTTCATTGATTAGTCGATTTTAGCTGATGCAGAAAGTTATGCAATTGTGAATGGATACTTAAACGTCGTTGCCAAAGTTTATTATTCATTATTGTATATCGAATGACATTTAATTGAGAATCAACCTTAAAACGACGACAGAACTTCAGTGGCTGCTGTCAAAGGTTGAACGAATGGGTTTTAATGTCAGTGAACGTGCAGAGTAATCTTATAATAAATTAAATTGTGAGTGATAAAACAAAAGTTATATCGTTATCATCTGTTCTTAGTGTGGGGTAAGCACCACCTATCAAATTATATTCGTTTTTTCTTTGACATTTTGATGTTTCAAGAAGAAATCTGCTGCATTTTCATTAAGAATATTATTTGCTATCATCTCTGATGAGAGATGATTAATAGTTAAATAATAATTATAAATCTTTACATATATACTTCTTGTTAAACAAATTTTAATGATTTAACGTTAATGTTATTACAACAATTTTAGTTTATGTTATAAATTGTATTATTTCAAAAAGAAAAGATCAAAAGGAAGAAAATAAGTCGTTATCCTTTCTTTCTTTCTTTCTTTCTTTCTTTCTTTCTTATACTACACGTGTAAACGAGCTTTAATTGTATATACATACTTATTGATGTGACACATTTCCCAAATTTTGTATTCTCAATTTAATTTAGCCCCAATTCACTCTATATGTCTACAGTATCGTTTTATTACTATTGAGAAATACAAGCTATTATAATCTTCAAATCAGAATAAACTGATTCTCTTATATATCCTATATATATATATATTTGATCAACAATTTATACATTTTGAAACAATATATTTCAGTTTAAATATATATTGAATATAAATATATGAATGTTTATGACAGTAACAATAATAATAATAATAATTGACTACAATGATGTAGATATCTAATAAGTATTTTTAGAACAAGTAAAAAAAAAAACAAAAAAGAAAACGATTTTAAATGTAATTGAATTCTTTGAAAGAGAAACAAAAAAGTTATACATTGATATTATTTAAATGATTATTATTATCGTTTGATTATATTTGTATATGATTATAAATAGACATTTTTTCGTTATGCATAATAGTAAATATTTTCTAGATTTAATGTTACAATTATTGTTTTTTAATAAAAAAAAAAATATGAATTATTATTAATATTAAAAGTAATTCTCTTGTTAAATTTTCTCTGTAATCTGAGTGTTAAACATTTTATCTCTTTTTTTTTTTTTTCTATATATATAATTTTTTATAATAGTTAATGATAAGAGAGTATTATGTAAGCCTTGCATATATACAACAGTAAAATTGTCTCTTGTATATTATACAAATAAGAAAATGATTGTTTGTTTGTTTTTTTTTTATAATTATTAAATAAAATATGAATTATTTAATTATGAAAATAATTTACAATAATAAGATATTAATGAAAATATTCATTACAGATATTAAATAGAAAATAACTGATTTTCAATGGCGCAGATAGATTCACCAAAGTCAATTCCTGATCAATTTAAGTAAGTAAAATTATTGTACGATCGTCTTACAATTGTCAAGAAATAACTGCTTGCTGGTTTCAATTGTGTCCCATTTAATACGAGATCGTTTATTTAAATTGTTATACGAGGTCATTTGTATTATAAATACAATGTAATTTGTTATTAAATTAAATTGCGTTTAAATTGAATTTTATGTGTTAGAATAAATTGTGATACTTAAAATGTATATTCTTATGTAATAATAAATTGTAATTGTATTTATTAATGATTTTAATGCAATTTTATGAAATAATTAATCGTATTACGTATTATCGAATTAATAATCATATTAATGCAACAATCGTATTAATAAATTTGATTGTATTTAGATATTATAAAATATCTTGCATTCAAATTTCGCGCGTTTTTTCTATTTTTGAATGGTTATATATTTGAATAATATAAATACTCGATGAACACAAAGTTGTTGTAATCGCGTTTATCGTTTTATACAATTACAAATGATTTTATTTTAGGCTTTTACCAAAGATAATAAATGGAGGAATTGCCGGAATTATCGGCGTATCTGTAGTATTTCCTTTGGATTTGGTAAAAACGCGGTTACAAAATCAAGTAATTGGACCAAATGGCGAACGAATGTATAGCTCGATGTAAGTTAAAACTTGGATAAATGAGAACTTCTGCTCAATTAATTCGTATGTATTCAAATTAATAGTGTTTAAATGTTCAATGTCACACTTAAAAAAAAAAAAAAATATCACTAACACGACAGTAACGTTTTATTGCACAATTATCTTGTTGTTAATATGTTAATAATTTATTGTTGACGAATTTAATTGAAACAACAGAGAAAAGAAAAATGTAATAATAAATGAATATTTTTATAGGTTCGATTGTTTTAAGAAGACTTATAAAGCGGAAGGATATTTTGGAATGTACAAAGGATCCGGTGTAAATATTTTATTGATTACGCCGGAAAAAGCCATTAAACTCACTGCCAATGACACATTTAGACATTATCTCTCCACTGGTCCTGGGTATGTTTATGTGGATGTTTAAATACGTATCAACTATATTTTTATCAGGTACGATGTCTCTAACCAGGCACAACACAAATCGACAAATTTAAACAAGAGAGTCCAACGTTTATAATATACATATATATATATTATATGTATTTGTCGAATTTACGGCCATTTTATTTTTGCTCTTTTTTGTTGCTTTTTTTTTTAAATTTTTCTTTACAAATTTTCAATTGATTTATTTCATTTTCTTTTAAACATATTATTATTTAATTATAAAACATCGCACTCTTAATTGTTCAATTACAATATTTGCATATACATACGCAAGTATATCAGAGAAAAGAAAAGGCAAATAGATTATGCACGTCAATTGATTTATTTCACAATAAATTTTTAACTGCACCCGCATTGATACAAGAAAAAAGGAAAAAACGAAACATTGAAAAAAAAAACAATTTACGAATTTTTGTTTACACAAAATTTTATAAGATTATTATTTATATGATTATGTTCTTCCGTAACAAAGCGTATATCATGTATGGTATGGATGATACACAAGCCTGACACAAGAAAAATAGAAAAATCAGGAGGTGGCAGTAAAAATAAAAGTATTTTATCGCTGAGGGGATGTGTGTACAATACAGGCAGAGTCACGAAGAGAATCTCTATAGCGCAAATGCAACATACACTAACAAAAAAAGTACGTGTAAAAAAAAAATGTCAAATGGTTGAATTGAGATCCGTAGAGCATTTTTTGGCGAGTAGTTCCTCTCTCTCTCTATATATATATACTACTAACAATAAGAGATTGCAATTTTAAAACATTATAAATCTTTTTTTTTGTGTCCCACCTTTTGTTTTTTATTCGTAAATAAATTTGTGTCTCTTTTCATAATTATTAATATTATTAATTAAAAATTCTCGCTAAAAAATGTCATTACAATAAATCGTCAAACACTGGATCTGTCCTATTCCTCTATCTAATCATATTAAGAAAACAAACAAAAAAAAAGAAAACAAACAAACAAACAAAAAAATATGATTTTTGACAATATTTTTAACATGTAATATTTATTTATGTTATTTGTTATAATGTATGTGTAATACTGGTTTAGCATTGAGATGAATTTATCACTGTGCAAGCAGTGAGACTTCTTTTTATTGCAATCGTTAAGTTTTACAATGTTATGAAATAAGAACATATGCTAACAGATAAGGTATATATATATATATATATTAAAAAGAAAAAAGAAATTTGTGCGATTTTACCACAAGTAGAGATGTGATTGTAATCTTTAATCACTCGAATAGTTTCACCATTTCCAAAGCATATGACCCACAACAATTATTATGATAGCCCCCATTTATATTTATTAATTTAGTGTGGACTTTTTTTTTTTTTTTTTTTTTCAAAACAATCATCTTGTCAAGATGTTATATTTATTTATTTTGTGTCTTTTTTTTTTTTTCTTCTTTATTAATTTCCATAGCCAACAACTGCCATTACAACGTGAAATGTTGGCTGGAGGATTAGCAGGAGCTTGTCAAATAGTTATTACAACACCAATGGAATTACTTAAAATTCAAATGCAGGATGCAGGAAGAGTTGCTGCAGCTGCTAAAGAATGTAAGCAATTGAATATTATTTATTAATGATATATTTATTTATTTCTTTTTTCTTATTTATTATATTACAAAAATTATATGATTAAACTATTTGTCAAATTTGCTTAATAATATATTGTTTCTTTGTTATATAGCTGGAAAGACTGTACCGAAAGTATCAGCGTTATCTTTAACTAAGGATCTTCTTAAACAAAGAGGAATACTGGGACTTTATCAGGGAACAGGAGCAACGGCACTAAGAGATGTTACATTTTCCATTATTTACTTTCCTTTGTTTGCTAGACTAAATGATCTTGGGCCAAAACGAGAAGATGGATCATGTAAGTTATTGATCTACTTATTTCATATCAAATATATTTGTAAAGTATATTTTCAACAAATTATTTTCAAGAATCGATTTTATAGAAATACATTTAGTACAATTTTAAAAGAAATTCTTTTAGAATTAATAGATATTATTTTGAAGATTATAAGTTCAATGATTCATTATATAATTAGTTTTTATATTACCTTATCATATAGATGTAATGAATTTCTTTGGGACTCGTAAACAATACAGACTTGTTACAGTGAAAGATTATATAATATTTGTTTGGTCATCTAAAATACTTTTATTAAGATTTGTTTCGAGTAATGATAATAAGTCTTTCTACAAAATTACAGCAAAGTCGAGCATGTATTTAAGATACCTTAGATATAAAATAGTTATAGTTATTATAGAATATATAATTTTAGTCAGAAAACATGTATACGTTTGGTATCTTATTAATTTAGTCAAATCCACACAAAATAATTATACGAATTCCCTATAGTTATGTATCATCAATCGAAGAATATTTTTATTCTTGCTAATACTAGTTCCCATATTTATAAATACTTGTACATAAATGCGTTATATTTAAGCAATATATTTGCCTTGTTATTTTTTCTATGTCATTGATATTATTATAATTAGGAGTGATATAAAGCAGATTTTTCTTACATTACTGTACAATTATACTGTATATATATATATATATATATATTGTACAGTTAATATTATAGTATATATAATTATTTATGTAAATATAATAGGATCTTTTATCATATCATGGTAATCGTGATTTATAAATTGAAGCCATTTAAATTATTTTGTTGTTGTTGTTGTTGAATATAATTACAATTATACGTTTTATTAGAATATTTATGCTCTTAAAGATACAAATTGATGAAATACATCTAAAATATGAGGATCCAAATCTGGAGTAAATAATAACGTTTCTAAAGTTGATGAATATTTCTGTACTTGTTCGTGATGAGTCAAGAACACTTGTTGTAGTCGTCCTATAGTCCATTTGTACCAATGAGTATTGTAATCAATATTATCTGTATCACATCTAACTAAATGCTCAGAAAGTATCATTATAAATCGTTGAAATATGATGAGAAACAAATTTTTCTGATCTGCTTGTGCCGCTTCTAGTTTTTCCTCCATTCTTTCAACAACATCTTCTGATGGTTTCTCTCTATTACGGTCTTTATTAGTGTCATCATCCTCCGATGAAGAACCAGATCTACTTTCAGCTCTTCTTAATTTTTCTCTAGCTTCCGCCAATTCCGTAGTTAATTTAATGACATGTTTATTTTTTTTCCTTATTGTAAGATGCAAGATTTCCCATATATATAGTTTTGTAAATTCTGATGCCATTTCTTTAGAAAATATCCAATTAGCGATAGCACTGCATTCTATAATGCCAGTTTTCAAAAATTTATCCGTTAATACTGCCATCATTTGATAATGATTCTTCCATAATGCATACATATTTCTTAATATACATATTTCAGCTTCTTCCGTTTCGGCAAGTACTTTAAAGACATAATGAAATTTTCCTATAGCTGCAAAACTGTGACTAAAACTTTTCGAACCAAGATTAAGTAACGTTTGAACAAATACATCAATTTTCAGCGGATTAAAATTATTTGTTTCTTCATGATCCTTAGGTCCGGGTAAAGTATTTAGAACATTTAAAACTTCTTCGGGTGTACATTTACGTCTTATTGATACAACTAGTTCATGAGCTGCAGCAGTACCAGGTAGAGAGCTTGCTCCTTCCGATGAATATTTATACACAGGTTCTGGTAGTGCAGGTATTAATTCGGCATACGATTCTGGCATCATATCACGAATCCTTTGATAATATGATAATCGTAAGGCTTTTTGCAATACTTCTCTAATAAATTTAGGTCTTGGATGCTCTGGATCACGTTGTAAACAAGAATCCCAATCTTCCCAGGACCATCGGAATTGAAAGTTACTCAAATGATATGAAAACCACCAAACAAATCTATCGAAAGCAGTAGCTGCCATGCTATCTATTCGACGAAACAAAATTTCTGTTGCTTGAGCCAATACTTGTGGCATTGTCGAAGGCTGTAGTTTGCAAAGTTCTATCAAAATAGATCCGTAACAAATTTCAAGATGTTCAGGCGTTGGTAATCTAAATAATTCTCCAAATATAACTTCAACTATACAATAATCCAATGGAATTTTGGCCTTGTATGGAAAGTTCAATAATTGTGCAGCACAGTCTTTCCTTTCAAAATAATAATTGTTAATAATCTGGCGCAAATGTTCTTCTATAAGAAATCTTTCGATGGCATGGCTACCAGGTAATAGAGGTCCTTCTGCGGGACAATCTGTATAATCAAACATACGAAAGACAGCAGTAGGCAATGGATAGGTACAATTTTCATGATGCGGAGGGGGTATTATCGCAGGCAAATTGTGTTGTAATGCTTCACACAAAATAGAATCAAAAGCAAGATATGGTCTGGGAATGTGTTTCTCTGCCCAATTGTCTTGCCTAAGTTTTCTAACTTGTGCCCACAAACAATCCAAATATTCTTCTTGTGGATGAGGCGTGTCGCTTGACCAAACTCTTAAAGCTGGTTGATGTTTCTTGCTACGTTTATTTAAAAATATTTCAATGGTTACCATTAAATGATCCAATTCTTGTTCCTTTTTCTCATAGAGTTCTCTTCCGACCCATGGTAATGTAGATAAAACAGCAAAAACGTACCAATCGCGTCTTACTTGTGGTACACTATCTTCATTTGCAGCATCCAACATGTTATCGAATAACTGCATCAATGAGCCACACGATAGAACATGACAATTAACTAAATCTGCAAGGAACCTGAGCGAATATCTTGCTACGTTCCATTTGCACGCCTTTAAAGCATCTTTGAAATTTTTTACCATAAAATCAACAAATTCACCCCCGAAATTGAAATTTTTTGCATTTAATAAGCCAACCAGAGTTGTATAAATGGTACATTTTTCTGGCATTTTAATAGCACAATCTGTTAAAATTCGTAATATCTTACTACGAAATAATCCAAGATCAGCTTCCAAAACTGAAGCAAGACCTTCTAAATTACTTTCTAAGGAGGATGTTGATTTTTCTCCTACTCTTAGAATTAAACATTCTAAACGATCTTCGATTTCTTGATTTTCTGAAACACGTCTTCGCTTTTTATAGATACGTTCGTATCCATCGTCTTCATTATGTATTCTTTTACGACTCATTTTGAACGATTTTAATCGTATAAATGATTCTTACAATATATGATCTTTATTTCGTGACCTTATTTATAGCAAACTTTAATAGTTATTAACGGTTAACTTGAAACTCACGCACAAATCTATGCATTGACGAAACTTTTCAATATATCGTCAATGATGACTCGACAACGAGAGGGAAAAGATGACGCTGTGGTAGCTAAATTTGAGGTTAAAGTTTACACGATAAACGCATGGTGGCGCTGTATGCACTATTATTGCCTTTATATTTAAAACATGCGACTAATGTATTATGCTTTATCTTTTCTAGCTGTATTTTGGTGTTCATTCCTTGCTGGATGTGCTGCTGGTTCTACTGCTGCATTATTAGTCAATCCTTTTGATGTTATTAAAACAAGATTACAAGCTATTAAGAAGGCACCTGGTGAACCTTCATACGATGGAGTATTAGATTGCATTAAGTGAGAATACATTTAATATTATCTTCTTTTTTTTATATCAATATATCAACAATATCATATTTTTTGTTGTATTTTACAGAAAAACACTTGTCAACGAAGGACCAACCGCGTTCTTTAAAGGAGGTGCATGCAGGATGATAGTAATAGCGCCATTATTTGGTATTGCACAAACCGTTTATTACCTTGGAGTTGCAGAAAGAATTTTAGGTTTGAAATAAAGTATAATATGTCTGCTGTAAGCGATGCCATTCGATAACTCTGGGAAACCGACAATAATTGGCATAGAAATATATTTAAATATGTGTTGTTTAAATGCTATCACTAAAATATTACATCTAATGTTATAATTAGACAGTCGCATATTTCGCGTATTTTATATACAGCTGCTTATTATTTTTTTTCTTTATATTATTAAGAATTACAAATATCTATTTTGTAGTTCTAAGTGATCAAAGTTATTCCTAATATTTAGCTTATATTATTTAATCGAATTACTGCTTATATTATTAGCACCAATGGCGAATTTAACTTTGTATTGATTTTGAGAATTTTTATATGTATGTTTGTATGTATATATATTTATTTATTTATATGCATACATGCATATATACATACATACATACATACGTATAAAGAATAAGTAATTTAGGAACTATTCAGAATAAAAGTCCATGCTGGGTTCATGGATTATTATAATTATGTCGTTTTATGTTGCCTTAAAATAATGTTTATATAATCTTTTAGACATATATACACACACATACATACACATACATATATATATATATATATATATATATATATATATATATATATATGTGTATATATATACGTATGTGTTGATTTATGAATATTAATAAATTGATTATGAGAACAAAGTTTACAAAGAAATCAACAAAATTAGGAATGTTTGTCATATTAACGTTATGAGCCAACATCGAAATAATATACAAAGAGTTTATGTATAAAAATGTGAATATTTTCTTTTTCAATGAATTACCTTTATTTTACATTTTCTTTTTATTATTTTCATTAATAATAATCGCTGTACAATATTTGTGATGTAAGATTTATGTATAAATAGAGTATAGTGCATTAAATCGTTGCATGCTTCCATTCGTGCATAAAATCAAAATGAAACGAAGGATATATTCGAGTTCATCGGATCAAATATAAAATACCCAACGAAAAAAAAAAAAAAAACGATAATCCCCTATGAAGAAGTCTACATTTAAAAATTAATACACATGCATTCCTAAAAATTTACAAACAACAGCAGCAGACATACACGCATATACAGAATATATTACACAGAAAAGAAAAAGAGAATATTCAAGAATGAGGTATAAAGAAGTTACATTGGTACTTACGAATGACGTATTTTAATGTACTTAACATTGATACGTATCGACATGCTAATTACTTTATAATAATAATAATAATAATAATAATTATAATCATGTACAGACATGCATCACAAATGCAATTGACTTTATTATATTTATTGTATATTTTATCACATATGTATATAGAAAATTGTCAGGTTGTTTCTATAATTAGGAATCACTGAGAATGAACACGTTTGTTCGTTCAGTGTTTGAAAACTTGGAGAGAAATATAAAAAAAAAAAAAAAAAAAAAAAAGAAACAAAGGAAAAAGTTAATAGAGCATTCAGATAAATTTATTGGAATGATACTCCGAAAAAAAAAGGGAAAAGAAACAAGTTCTATCATTGAAACACTAAGAAGATGTATTAAGGAAAAGGTACCCAATGAGGCAATGTTTTTATATAACTGTAAAGTGCATCACCAGGACTTAACGTTTTCGATACTTGCCGGTGACCAAGTAATTTATAATCCTTGGCAATTTTTCCACTTTTAACGCCCAATTCAATAACTTTTTCTGCAGCATGTAGCTGAGACTTCGGCGGTAATACAGAGTTAAACGTACCAATGAATGATATTCCTATGCTTTTATTATTGTATCCAAAGGCATGTGCACCTACGAAATCCCAACTACGTCCAACGTAAGCAAGACCATCACCGCCAACTAGAAAATTGTATCCAATGTCCGACCAATGCTTTGATTCGATGTGAAACGTTTGTGCGATTCTCACATGGAGAGTACATTCCGATTGCGTTGAACAAAATTCAGTAGCTGTATGGCTGATGATAACGTAAGGGACAGGATGTTTTAATTTGTCCAAGGGTTTCGTTGGTGGCTGTGCTCCCCATTCGTTTCGCGGGACGAATCTCACGCTATTTACTATAACACCTGAAATCAATTTTTATTTAATTACTTACTTACAGATAATACAATTTTCCTATTTTTATATAGGTAAGTTAAATTTGTTAATTATGCGTTAGATGCAGCAAAATAATTTACTTTTATAATTATTAATTTATATCTCATTGAAGTATGGTAGAATTTGAAGTGTCCCTCGTTAATATTTCAATGTTATAATGGGATATTGTTTATAGCACAATATTGATGAATTATTTATATTACATTCTATAATTAAATGTTTAAATAATTTCTTTTTTATTTATTTTATATAATATAAATTTCATAAAAAATAATATTAGAATGAATCTTAACAAAATAGGGTTACGAGGGTTGCAAATAGAAGGATATCTTGTATTTATATGTCTATTATATTTTTATATATATTTATCTATTTATATAAATAACTGTAACAAGTATATTTAGAAAAAGAATTAATTAAAGTAATGAAGGTTTCACCGTTGTGTCGATTATACTTGAAAAGAAAATATGTCAAAGGAGAAATGATTTTGATTTTGTTTCAAATTACGAACATCAATTTTACCCTCGAGAGAAGAATCTGGTATTTCCGGAAAAACTGGAGCTGGTGGGACATCGTGTCTGTGTGTGAGAAGTACAGAAGCCACAACTATTGTGGTCACAACAATTAACGCTATTGTACACAAAAGTGCTGCGCATCGCCACGTCCATAACCAGCTTTTTACTATAAAATAGCAATTAATTTAAAAAAAAAAAAATACATAAAAAAGATTGCAATAACAATGTAAAAGATCATTTATATATATATATATACAAATAATGTGCATGTGTGAGAAAGAAACAAAAAAATGTTATTTAAATGTGCATTAATAGTTAATTATTATGAATAACAAAAATAACGTCATACACATGCCGATCTTTTCATTACTATTGCAAAATGAACAAAATGAAAAATAATTGAAATAAAAATGAGAAAAAGAGTGTAAGAAGAAATAAGTTTAATACAAATGAAATATTTGATAAACATAATCAAAGTTTTGTGATCAATATTACGGTACGGTACGAATGATACAATCGAATATGCCATTTTAATTAATAATTATATCAAATTCAGGAGAGAGAGAGACAGAGAGAGAATGTTACATCATTCGTAGAAAATAAATATTAGTAAAAATAAGAAAAAGAAAAAAAAAAAAAGAATATATCTATTTATCTATTTTTATCGATTCTATGATAATTTAACAAAATATATTTACTTTAATGAATTTAATCCAATATCGTTAGAATTAAATGATATCCATCCTTTAGTTAAGAAAAGAACTTAAAATTTAGCAAATTATTATTATTATCTAATTAAAATTTCTAACAATGGAAAAGAAAAATGAAAGAGATTTAAAAAACAAACAAAAAAATTGATGATAAATTTACCATTTTCTAAACAATTATGGCGTTCCCTGTAAAACTGAGTCAGTTGATTTATCTCTATGGAAGTACAATCAAAATCACTGGTGTAACATCTACTGTACTTAACGAAATTATATTTATTCCAGAAATAATGAAATAAATCAAATGTGGCGGTGAAAATATATAACATTGTTGAATGTTTAATAAATAAATAAATAAATAAATAAATAAAATGAAAATGTGTATGGAACACGCGAACGATTATTATTGTTACTACAACTGCTTTCGTTTTTCGACTCTATCTTAAGTTCAATAACTAATCTTTTATTATAGATTAATTTTGATAGGACCACGTGTTCCTTTCATTGTCTACCGGAAATTAAGATCAAGATAAATCTTTTAAAATTCGTGTAAAAAATTGATAACAAATTTGATTATACATTATCATCTATATATATATATATATATATATATATACGTATTGTTGTTGCAAAATGAAATATTTTTGAAGAAATGGAAGATAAAAAGACAAATTATATTAAATCACAACGAAGAAATATATTCTGTAATACGTATGATTGAAATAAATCCACTTAATGCCTACTTAATATTGAAAGTCAAATATACGATATAAAAATAATCTCGAGAAATAACTGATTATTCTATTATTATTATTATTTTTTCTTTTTTTTTTGACAGGGAGGGGAATTATTCTTCCTCGTGGCCCTTATCGCTGCGGTGGTTTTTTTTCTTTTTTTCTTTTTCATTAAAAAGATAACGTTTTCTTTGATAGATAAAAAAGAAGAAAAATAAAATAGTACTAAGTATATATTTTTAAAAGATTACATCGAGCTAATAAATATTCTGATTGAAGTATTTATAGTCTTTCTCTATACAACACAAGGTGAAAAGTAAACGAAATTATTGATTATACCAATAAATTTGATAATTATTAAATAAGAATAAAAAAAGAGTAACTATTTAAATGTAAAAATCGTATTACACATCTGTAATCTATATGTGACCTTTATCATAATTCAGGCCACTTTTGATGTTCGATTTATTCCGAATAAACACACGTGGCCTAATGTTTAAGTTCATAATTTTTGAAAAAAAAAAAAAAAAAAAAGAAACAAATGTACAATTTCTACGATTAGAAGAAGCTTAATTTATCCAACCATGAGGATATCTACGTCATAAATAATTATAATCTCGTCATTCTAATTTTTAAGATTTAACAGTTTCTCGAATGAATAAATGGCAAATAGGTAACTACCATATATGTAAAAGATTGAGAAAGCTAACCATAAACAAAGATGATTAAAGTTGAAAATGTTCTCTCTCTCTCTCTCTCTCTCTCTCTCTGTTTGAGTATATACATGCGTCAATAGATTAATAATTGAAACGAAAGTTTTTTCCTTTTATCCTCAATTATCGAGATAAACGTTTTTCTCGTCGCGGTATATCAGATGCGCCATATTTACGCAACACTGTAGACAAAGTTTTGGCATGTCCATACTAATGAATATGAATGAACGAATGAATGAAAAAGAAAAACAAATAATATAGATAAATGTGATTATTATCATAAAACAATTACCTCTCTCGTAATCATTCTTTTGTGATAAAATAGGCCTGCTAAGACCATGTCCAGCTTTACCTAATGATAAATCGGATGCGTTAGCGTCCGATGTACGTGGTCCGTCACATTCAGTTGTTTCTTTACCCTCCACCGAAGATGGGTTCGAATAAATGAACTGTCTTATCGTTACCGGACCCTTGTATAAAGTTTTGTTACCCAGATGAACGTTCGTTGAGTTTTTCACGCATATATCACCGAAAGTTGATGGATCAGCATTTGGTAAGATCACTTTACCGTTAGGCACCATAATCTGTTGTTGATGTTGCACAACAGTGGACACTGGTAAATCTTTCGTCCATTCTTCTTCTTCAAAATCAGTATCATTTTCATCTTCATCATCTTCCTCTTCTTCTTCTTCTTCTTCTTCTTCTTCTTCAACAACAACAATCCCATTATTTGCACAACAATCAACTATATTCTTTTTATTATCTATGTCACTGCACTGCGTAGGAGTACCATTAATAACACCATTGCAATTAGCTGCTGTTATCACTGTATTATTATTGTCTTTAGATAATTGCAATTGTTCAAATTTAACACGATTATTTTTTGCCGAATTATGTGACGAATCAACTTGTGACAATTCGTTAATTGTTCTTTGGCTATCTTGTTCTTTTTGATGTAGATTATTGTCTGCTGTTTGTTGGCATTGGATCAGTGTCACCATACCCGTTTTCTGTTTCAAAGATTTACATTAAAAAATTTCCTAATACTTTATATACAAATAATGAGAAGAAAATGCGAATAAAATAGAAAGAAAAAACAAATCGATTTGATATAATTATATAATAAATATATCTACAGATGTATTATAGAAATTTTATGCAAGTGTTAAAATAGACGCGACCATATTTTTCATCGGAAACTGCACGATTGTACCATTGTACAAAGTAGAGTCGTCTTCTCTCATTTTTTTTTGTCTCCCCACCACATATTATTCGTAAGTTTTATACAAGATAATAAAGCACAATAGGAAGACATATCGAATATATACTATATATATATATATATATATTTAATAACCGACACAATATATTTATCATAATTATATAATTTGTTAAATGAAGTATATAGGTAACATCGTTAAAAATTCCTAATAATTATTATCGTCGTAACGTCTCCTTGATATTTAATTGCAAAAAATAATGAATATATATATATTGACAATATTATCAATACATATTGTCACTAGTATAAATATATAGATATATTTTTATCAACGTTCATCAATATTACAGGATGATTCATATCTACTTGAAATTACAAATGCAAAATTCAATAATTTTGCTTTTTTCTATCTTCTACTTTATCTTTGTATTACGCGAAGTTAATTATCTATCAAATGGTCACGAGTTTGAAACTATTAATTAGATAGGAAATGAAATGAAATGAAATATGTAGATATATTTAACGAAATAACTTTTGAAAATATGTTATCACCCGCTTACATATAAACACATACATACATACATCGAGAGATAATGAAAATCGATTAATCGATTATTACCTCTCGCAAATCATCGTTTTAATATAACGTGGCCATTCCTGATCGATCAAATAAAACGTCGTTGTATTTTAATCGTTATTAATATGTATATAATAACAACAGATCTTCCTTGATTTTATTTTTCCTCTTTTCACTTCACTTCAAACGATTTCTTCAATGGCGTTAGTTGAACTAAGACGTACTTACAATTATAGAAACAAACACCTGTTATTGCGATCTCAACTCATACATATTATCTACGACGAACTAATCTCCATATAATTTTTGTTACTTGAAATCTAAGCGATAAATCGATAAACTCGTTTTATTAAAACAATCTTTCGATACTGTTCTCCTCCTTGTCGTCTTGTCGTGTCGTGTCGTCAGCGTCATTGATGACGGCACGATTTTTAACGAAGGTCATATTCGAGAATGTCGAATCCAAATCAAGAGACAACCAAGAGTGAAACAAAAAATTTACAAAGAGAGAGAGAGAGAGAGAGAGAGAAAGAGAGAAAGAAACTGGTTAAGGATACGCAAAAAGAATACTGCAAAATTCTTCTTTCCTTATTATCAATATTGCTATCTTCTTTTCTTCTTTTGCCGTTTCTCTCTCTCTCTCTCTCTCTCTCGTGTTCACTCTTTCCATTTTCCCTCTATTACTTTCGATAACGATTGCGCGGGATAATTTACATTTTCAAATGTAAAACGCGTATGCACGAAATCATCGATCGTATCTTTGTATTTGATCCAAAAAAAAAAAGAAAAAGAAGAAGAAGACCATATGCAAATTTTATTAAGTATGTAAGATCATACGAAAATGATAAAATATAATTGAAAAGTACGCATTGTTCGTTCGTCTTATCTCTCTCTCTCTCTCTCTCTCTCTCTCTAAGTTTTTAATATTATAAAAATAATTGATACCTTATTAGAAATTGGTCGACGCTTGTACTTGTTTGATGTTCGATCCTAAAAAAATTATATTTAATACACACATTTAAAGACCTTTTCCAGACTTCATTTTCTACCATTTTATATGTACTAAAGTGGTTGCCTATCTATTTCAATACTTGACTATATTTGCGTTCTATTATATGATCGCGAAATCAAATTTAACATACATTTATTGATAGGGATCATTAAATGTGATAATAATTTAGAAAACAAATATATTTTACTGCATCTTAAAATAATAATAATAACATTTAAAAAACAAACAAAAAAGGATAATTTTCTAATTTACCTGCTGAATATGCATCTACGAAGATTGTCGAAAAGACAATAAATAATAATTGAACTCGAGTAATCGTAGGCTTCATTTCTTCGTTTTGATGATTAATAGATTTAATAAATTCATTTCTTCGTATAATCAATGTCTTCAACATTTATATACTTTTGTTATCATAAAATTATTGTTATCAAAAAAGAATGATTTTTGATATAGATAGATAGTGATAAAGGAGTAATATATAGATAAAATAGATACATATTTAGGATAGCTTATAATATAATTGATTCTTCTCTATATAAATATGTTTATTATTATGTAAAAGAATAATTTAAAAGATTTAAATATAATGACCTATATACGTAATTTAAAGATTAGTCAATCATCTAATAAATAATCTTATAAAAAGTACATTATTATATTATCATATGTACGATGAAGATAATTGGACAATTAGAGCGAGTTTACATTTCACATATTAAAGAAGTATGTGACGATTAATGAAAACGTACCTTTAACAAACTGAAGATTTGATTGGTAGATATGTTCTGCTCACTGATTGGACGTTCTCTTTCAAAATTAAAGATCTGACTGGTAGTATGTTCTGCTAGTTGATTGGACGTTCTCTTTCAAAACTAAAGATCTGATTGGTAGTATGTTCTGCTCGTTGATTGGACGTTCTCTTTNGTTGATTGGACGTTCTCTTTCAAAACTAAAGATCTGATTGGTAGTATGTTCTGCTCGTTGATTGGACGTTCTCTTTCAAAACTAAAGATCTGATTGGTAGTATGTTCTGCTCGTTGATTGGACGTTCTCTTTNGTTGATTGGACGTTCTCTTTCAAAACTAAAGATCTGATTGGTAGTATGTTCTGCTCGTTGATTGGACGTTCTCTTTTATGCGCATTGAACTCTATGTTACGATTGGTTGTAGTATTTCTATACTCTAGTCATAGATATAATACATTCGAAGGTATTTGAACTATTTATCGTTTAATAAATATTCTTTTAAAGTAAAATAATAATAAGAAAAATAATAATTAAATAAGAATCGTGTATAAAGATTATGATTATTGATATAATGTGAACTTATTATAAAAGATATGAAAAATTAATTTTACAACTCAGATTTTTTTTATGTGCCATTAAAGGTTATACTTTAACAATAATTATTATCAGTTAAAGTATTTTGTTGTTGTTTTATACAATATATATTTATATATATATATATGTAAGTAGAAATTGTGTACTATATATTAATTCTACTTACAATATATATGTAAGTAGAATTATTTTTTTTTCTCTCTCTAATATTTTTAAGTAAAATTCCATAAGAATATAATTGTGTATACATTCTGAATTCTATGATTCATCTTAACATTTTTTCCTTATTATTTGTATATAACATTCCAAGTTTTACAATATAAATTATTATGAATAAAAGTTAAATGAATAATATTTAAAAAGTAACTTTTTTTTTTTATACAACTAGATATTTATTATACTTTTCTAGTTATTTATATAATCTTTTAACCATCAAATTTTGTTTATGATTGAGATATATTTAACAAAAATACTTATAATTGTAATTATTGTTGAAGGAAAAAAGTAGAATGTTTAAAATATGATATGTATATATATGTAAAAAACAAATCAAATTTGTGTATAGTATTATATTCAATAACATTACAGAAGTTACATGATATTTCACTTATGAAACTCCCATTTATTATCATTATGATCACTTTTTATATTTGTTGATTATATCACATTAGTATTTTTATTCATTCCTGTAATAAGAAAATTTCTTTTTTTTTAATTATATCGAATAAATCTCATGCACACATATATACATATAATATATTGTATTATATCATATCTGTATATATATATATATATATATCATTAAAAACTAAACAGTTCTATCTAATATAAATCAAATAACGTATCACTTTTGTGAATGAGTCACACAAATATACATATCCATATCATATCAATTAAATATATATATATTATGCATATATAAGTTTTGTTAAATAAGTTCACATACAGTCAATTACAGAAAACCATAATAATAAAAAGAAATAGTAATTATTATGAACGTTTATATGAATTATATAAAAATATAAGAAATATTATTGAATAAATTAAATAAAGTAACTAGTGCGTGCAGTGAGTAAAAAAATGGCCATTTTGGCGGGGTGATGTGTTTTCACGGTGTGTATTGAATAATCGTAATACGCGAGGTAGATTAATAATAAAGAAAAATAAATATAAAAAATTATAAAAAAATAATTGGTGCACGAATATTACACTAAAAACCGTAAACGAATACCGTTATTCGTAGTGAGGACTAGTCTAGGAACAAAGCGTGCGATTAAAGCCGACGACAAACGAGGACACGTCGTGTAAAATTTTCAACCACGCTAGGGTGGGGGAGCCAATGCACTATGGGAAGTATTTGCGACAGACGCATGCGTAGTTCAGTTTACAGTTGGAGCTTGGAATAAAATGGCGTCTGCTAAGTTTCTGGAGGAAGCTCTGAGTACGGACATTGACGAATCTGCTGTGAACGCAATAGTAGGCTCCCTCGAAACACAGCTTGTAACATCGACGCCAACCGTTTCTGGCCATCAAGCAAGTTCTGCAACGGCTAATCAACAGAATCATCAGGTAAACAGCAGTATTTCCAACGGGGGCACCATTACTGCATCGATACAACCACAGAAACATGGGGTTTCCAACGGTGGCGGTGCCACCCTTGTGAACAATCTTTTGACTCAAGAAGTTACAAAATCGATTCCTACGAGTACTTTACTACCAGTGAACGTAGTAACCTCGAACGCGGTAGCGCCAGGACAAGAACCTGTTAAGATAATATATCCTACGATCGGACAAGTTATTGCTACAACGGGAGTAGCAACGGCTAATAACAAGCTTCCTTTTCCTACACAAACTGTTGGACAATTGGCTAATGGTACATTGGGCATAACCTCACAAGCAGTGCTGCAGACAACATCCAACGCTGTTTCTAACGTTGGTACCATCAGTCAAACTGGCAACCAGGCAGTGACCGGAGTAAACAAGCAGACAGGCACTGCTTTAGTGATAAAGACTAGTGTAGCACCCGGTGGAATGGTTTCCGTCCCAATGTCTGTTCCAGTCTCTGTGACTAGCAGTGTCGTTAGCTCGGCATTGCAAGGTAAAGCTGGTGTTACACCGACGATTGTACCCAGCAATGTGCAAATTCTCAATGTTAATGCAATGAGACCAGGAACACCAGTAGCAGCTCAACAAGCAGGAAAACAAGTTGCACCAAGAGTGGTTATAAGTCCACACATGGTTGGAGCAAAACCCGGAACTCAAGGGGTAAGAGAAACATACTTTATATATACCGTTATGTTATTGAAAATCATTTCTTAATGCATAACATTGATTCATTTCTAACTATCTTATAAAGTTCAATCACATATTTAACTTTACATAAGCAATTTATAAAGTTTCAATAAATGTGTCTTGTTTTTTTTTTTGATAAGTAGCATACGTAAACTTTATAAAATGTTATCTATAAGTAATTACCATTGCATTCTCAAATGATTTGATAAAATTCAATTTAATCTTTATATATATATAGATGTATGTATATATGCATTGTATATATTAGAGGTGTATATATTATTTATTGTTTTTATTTACAGATTACATTGCAAGCATTGCATGGTCTCCAACCTGGAACTCAAGGCCATTTATTATTAAAAACAGAAAATGGTCAGTATCAGTTATTAAGAGTAGGACCAGCACCAACAGCAGGAACACCATCCGGTACTGCTGTTACTCCAAATAGTATCACAGGAAATGCAGTAGTTGCAGCTCCATCCCCCGGCACTACCTATCGTCTAACCTCTGTGCCGGCTGTAAGTAGGCTGAACACTCAGTTCACTGGCCCACCACTCGCAACCTTAAGAAAACCCGTTCAGGTGACGCTCTCTTATACCTGCTATAAGACTCGATGTAGTAGTTGTAGAAATTCATTGGTTTTTGATTTTAGTTTGTTGGAATGGTGTTCTATAGTAGACTATGTATTTTTTATTTCAATATTATTAGATTTGACTGCGTATCATTTATGTAAAGTTTGACATTATTTTGTATTATAGATATTCTTTATTTAGTCGTTGATCGTTACCAAATTATAATAGTCTTTTTATTATTTGAATATGCTTGTACTTTTGAATATGCTCTTTTTCAATATTTCTAAATCTTGTATAGTAAGTTATTATTTACTTTTTCTTTTCTTTTTTTCTTGTTCTTTTTCTTCATTATTATTTATACAAGATATAACATCTATCAATGTGATGATAGAATTTTGTT